AATTCATTTCCAGTTGCAAGTGTACCTGCCTTCCATAAGTCTGTGTGTCCACCAGCCTGCTTCTGTGCAGTGGGTACCATTGTTAATGTCTTAAGCTTCTTCATGTAGTTTAGGTACCAATATCAGCGTTACTAATCTAGCTTTAATCCAAAGAAAGTTTCCTGTGCTCATGCTGTAAAGGACTTCAAAATCTTTAGGCAATGAACTCCAGAAGTATTACAAGGAGCATTGTTTGGAAGATGTGTTGATTTATGCCCTAACTGCAGAACCTGTAAAAAAAAAAAAATCACATACCCATTTTCAATTCATTTGGTGCCTTTGCAGGCCCAGCAGGATTTAGAAACTCTATAGCCAGGTCTGGAAAAGGGAAATGTTGAAGTCAGTTCCTAAAATGCAGTCAATCCATGTTTGCAAAAAAAAAAAAAAAAAAACCCAAGAAACAAAAACAAAAAAACACTTATTAATTGAAAAGAGCATCTCTCAAAGAAAAAGATAATCCAAACATCATCAGCTTTTTAAGCAGCCACTTTGCCATCCTAATTCTATTTTGCTCAACCTAGTGTTCAAATTCGTTTTCATTCTCTTGACACATGCCAAATGTTGGCAAAAGAAATGATCCCAAGGTGTCCTGAATTCAGAATTTGACTTTCTCATAATTTTGCTCTGGGCTTTTTTCCCCCTGCTAAAGTCAACACTGGGGTTTTCTTTTTCCTTAATAAACCAATTCCAATTGTTTATACAGGGGAAACTGAGTTGCAAGGAACATTTATTTTTCAGTGCTCAGCACTGTAGAAGAACAGACTGGGACAGTGCAAGAATGACTATATGGTGTTGCTTGGGAAGCACCCACAAGTTCTTTGAAACAGAATTTGGAACAGCTGGACCACTGCACTGTTTTATTTTAAAATAGACAGCATATGTAATGCATATGGTCCTAGACATGTATGGAGACACAAGCAGACAATCTGAATGGTATCCAAAGACACCTGCACCTAGAATTCTGTTTCCTTCTATAAGATTTTTTCCCCTAAGAGCACATGTTCCCACTTTCGGATTTGCAAGATGCCATCTGAATCCCCATGTGTGTGACTCCTTAATAAAGTCAATGGGAAGTTTCCTGAGATGGAAGTGTCAGAGTAAGTCAGTTAATAAACACCTCCTAAGGACCTGGCCCTCTGGGAGCTGGTAGGGGAAATAACAGATCAGATACTTGCCCTCCAGGAACATATTATCTACCAACGGATTCAGGGGTGTGTGTGTGTGTGTGTGTGTGTGTGTGTGTGTCCTGACCACAAAGAAATTGGAAGATAACCCAGCACAAACACAGAGACAGGATGTGGTAATGGGTTATCCAGAAGAAGAGAAGCATAAAGCAGAGCCATTGGGTAGGACTCCCAAGTTCCTAGAAATAATATGGCTTAAGAAGAAACCTATAACTGACATTAGCTATACATTCAGAGACTAGCTTGACTTGCTGAGAGCATTGAACAAACTGGCTTTGGGAGTCCTAAGAAGCTTTGCCTGGTCATCAAGCTCACTCTTGCATACCTCCACTAATTCTAAGAAAAAAAAGATAATTTTGTGTAAGCAAAATTCAGGGGCTTCTAGTTTTACTTGCTGGAGTTTTCCACTGCATTAACCTCCATCCCACACACATAGAAGATGTGCAAGGGATAGGGAATGAATAGCTAAGTTTAATGAGCGCTTACTATGTGCCAGGTGCCCAGGTGCTTTACAGGTACTTTTCGTAAGATCTACTCAACAGCCCTCTGACTCAAATACTCTTCTCATTTTACAAATGAGGAAAACAAGACTGAGAAACAATCAACTTGCATAATGTCTCATAGCTTATAATGGCAGAGAGAGCCTCAAATTTAGTCTTTATGACCTGCTAAGCTCACCCCTTTAACCACCTGCTAACCATTAAATAAATTGTTTCCATTGAATTTAGTATATTGATAGTCCATTCAAAATGTAGAAAATATTTGTTAAAAGAGTGAATTCATTTAGTTTGATTTTTTTTATTTTGACATATATGTATTGTGTGTCTACTATATGCCAGGTATTATTCCTAGATGCAAGTAATATAGCAGACAGCAAAAATACTAAAATCCCTGCTCAGATGGAGCTTAAAAAATTAGACCCTTAATATCACATTCCTGATCATTTCTGAATATAATAAGGTCATTGAAACACTAAAGATTTCATCCATTTTAAGCATTTTTGAGTTGCTGGAATCATTAAGATAATGAGCTAGTTCTAAGTAAATAATCATTTCATGTAAGCAAAATCCTGCTCCTACCTGCTGGAAATTCCCAATGCACTAAGTACCACCTCACGTATGTAGAAGGTGTATAGGGGACCTTAGTATCATTAAATGACAGTGGCCCAGAAAAGGAATTCAGAGATTGACTCAATTTACACACTAGGAAGTGGAGATTCAGTGAGATCCACAACTCAGCAGTATCCCCCAGCTATTTAAAAACAGAGGTCCAACTAGAATCCAGACCTCTGAAATCAGTCCTGCGCTCATTCTACATGTGAACTCGGAAAGAAAGAAGGGAAAGGGAATTTTTATGTTGACAGTTTCAAAAAAGGAAAACAGGCTGTTTTTAAGCATTTTTCTGTAAACCTACTCGTAAACCTAAGTAAAACTGAAATTGTTCTTTCGACTTACTCTGAGGCAAGAATTAGCACAGCAAAGCTCCTTGGTGATGGATTGGGGAGGCAGCTAGTGGGTCTGTATCCAGGTCTCAGTAAAGGAGCCAAGTCACCATCTCAGATCCATTTCCTGAGAGGGCAACAAGGAAAAACAGTTCACTGCAAAGTTTTCGAGAGGTTCGACAAAGAGTAAGAGACTTGAAACATGCCATATTTTTTAACAGGTACAAAAGGAACCCCTTGTCTCTGAGCTTAATGACCAGTTGCACCATTGAAGAGCAATATAATAGCAGAGCCAAACTGGCAAAGTAAGACCCTGGCCAATTTGTCAGCATTCAGCCTCTTCTGAGAAATCCGTGAGCAAGAGGCTGGTGCTAGTCAAAATGCCTCAGCTTTCTGTTAACATTGGGAAGCACAGGGTGAGTGAGGCTTTTTGTGAGAATGAAACCGGATGAGCAATTCATGCACCTCACTGCTAGTTTTTCCTGAATTCAAGTGACCTGGCTTTCACAGGCTATAGGTGAGTGAACAGAATCTGTCTTAAGGGACGGAGAGTGGCCCCAAGAATTGCAGACCTAAGGTTGGAGCAGGTTAAAACACTTGCCCTGGGTCAGGGGAGATACGCACCCCTCGGAGCAGCTGGCTCTTACCCAGGCACCAACTTTTCTTACTCTCCATCCAAAGTAAAAGGAGAAATACAGCTTGGAAACATAACAACCAAACAAAAGAATCCTCTTCGATAAAACACCTAACTTCAAACCGAAAGCACTCTCGTAAAGACAGTTCAGAGGCAATTAACACAGCAAAGAGATTTCTTTCAGATTCTCTAATATAATTCCTGCGCATGTGATACCGCTTCCAAAAGCTTATGTCATATCATCTAACGCAGTGATTTGGCTATTAAATACACATTCTTCTACTTGCCTTCTGGAAACCGTTGCGTCTGTGTATCTTGGGCATAAACAACACATCTTGTTCAAACACTGACCACTTGCTGCTTGTAGGAAAAATAACTGAAGATGTTAAAAAAAAAAAATCTGACAATACAAGGGTATAAATCTGACATACCGTGCATTTAAATTTAAGCAATACACAAAATCAGTAATAATGTGAAGAGAGATCATCATCTTAAAGTCACACTGCTATCATAACTCAAGCTTTCCGTCATACCCCAAGCACAGGAGGGGGAAAAAATGCCTGGGATGAAGGCCATCTATGAAAATATTATCTAAACACCCTCTCAAGTCAGAAATCCATTTTCCGTGTCCTCACAGCATCTCTGGTCCCTGGCAGGTCCCCAGATTCCAGTAGAATATTGCACACAAGAGGACGAATAAACCCCTGCTTGATTTGATACAAAAGTCTTTTTCTTCACAGTCTGTATATCAGGAAAGTAACTATGAGGTGGAGTGAGCCGATTTCTTTAATGTATAGGACCTTCATTCCTACCTCTTCGGGATTTTCTTGGTTTCGATTGAATTGAATTCTGAGTTATTTTGCCAATTGAGTATAGAGTATTTTAGTTACACATATTGAGATTAATTAGTTAGCCCTTAGGAGGTTTTGCCTACAGCCTTCACCCTGGAAGGAAAAGTGTGAATACATTGAGACTATTAATTCATAATAAATGGCAGATCATAGCTCTTGCTGAGTAAATTTGTTTGTCTCTTTTATAAGCTCTGCTCACTGAGTAAGCGCACTGTAAGGCAATGTCCTTGGCTATCACAAGCTAAATTCCCATACAACTTATTCTCTAGGGTTCAATGAAAATCTTTTGTTATTATTATTTTTTTTTAATTTTGGAGGGTGGGGACCCAAAACTTCTGTGAAACCAAATTGGCAATGGGGATTTGGAAGGGGAGGATACAAATATTGTCACTTTGCTGAAAATCAGCATAACCCTTTTTCCAGATAATCCCAACAATTGTAGAGAAATTGCTCTAGACATAATCACTGGAATGGCAGAATCTATTAAAAACCTAAAAATCTAAATAGGCTTTTATAAGCAAAGACCCGATCTGCTTTCAGTGTTTGGTGAAATGCAGGCGAAGTTACGGTCGTGTGCTTAGTTTTTAAAGAACAACATAAATGCACTGGAGTTGTGATCATTTGATAAACATGTTGATGCCAATATATTTTTGCCTAAATGCAATAAACTCACCAGTAAGTGATGCAAGTTGACAATGGGAGGTAAAAGAATATCTTGGGGATGTGGTGGGAGGCAGCGGGAAACAGCTAGCATTCGTAATGCCTAGTGAATTCCTGTGTATTTGAAATGTCAAAGAAAATGTGATGTATTTTTCTAAATTGTGTCTCTCTCTACATGTATAAATGAACAGACGCAGATAGAGCTCAAAAACATGGCATGGATGAATTTATCTCTTCCAACCCCTGTAACTTTGACCACGCTTCCCTCTTTGAGATGGTGCAACGCCTTACTTTGGATCACAGACTTAATGATTCCTATTCTTGCCTGGCAAGTATATTCTTTGGTCTACAGCAATTTAAACATGATGGCATTTTTTAAAAAATAAGATCTACCTTTATTTCAGAAGCTCTTTTCTACATTACAGAGCCCCTTTAACAATTATAAATGTGTTCTTGATATCCTGGGTTGAGATGGTTTTACTTACCAAAGAAAGAAGACAGAGCGGGAGGAAGTTATCAGTAGAGATGAATCCAATTCCCCAGCCTCCCTATCTTAGCTTCCCCCTTTTCAGCTGCTACATGAGAAATATTCCCAAGAGGGTAATCGAGTTTGGCACCTGCTTGTGGAGAAGTTGTAAAATCGCCTCAGTTTCTTAGAGTTAAAGATCCCTTTCCCTTTCCACCCCAGATGATAAGAGCTTGTGCTCTTGTCTCAGAAATGAATGTCTTCTTTTTGTATATATTTTGAAGACCAAAATGATTTGTAAATAAACTCCACTTCATTTTTCATAAGCTTAACTGGTTTGGGTTTATTTATTGGGGTACTTTCCTTTTCCTTAATATTATTTAAAGTGTTTTTCACCCTTTGGGGAAATTGTTTGTGGTGGTTTAGACGGTTGGAATTCAGCTCCCCAGAAAGAGCAGCAGCATTTCTGGAAATCCTGTCTAAGCATCGATTTAAATCGTTTAAATTCAATGGATTGGATTATGTCTTTATTGGATTTCTGAAGATACGTTTTGTGTTTTATATTATCAAATTTCGGAACCTATTTAGCCCCTTCTGCAAATCATAAACTGGTACTTTGTTAAAGATAAATGTTATTAATCCCACTTTATGGATGGGAAAGATGAGGGGAGATGATGAAATGACTTTACACAGAGGAAAATCTTCATCCCTGACTCTAAGCACCAAATGTAATGTGTTTGTGCATTATAACATTATGTATTTTAACTAGGATTAACATTATTGATATTAACATAAGTCTCATGAAAATCTGTTTCTTTCCTAAATGACATGACTAAACCTATTCTGATTTTTATTTTAAATTCCCTTTTTTCTGTACCAAAAGGCAAAATATCAAAAAAGAGCAGATAATCTAGCCTTAAAAACAGAACTGGGATTTTTTTTTTTTATTAATCTGTATCTCATAAAAGATTCATTGATTATCTCAGGTTTAGAAGTACTTCATCAGAAGACTCTGAACTTTGCCAAATTGAAAAGGAATACATCGCTTTGACTTAAAAAAAGGAAAAAAAGCTTACCTTGCATTGCAAGGCAATTTTCTCATATATATTTCCTACAATTATGTGACTAATTCACGTAATTATAAATTACATTTATGAAGCGTGCAAGAATATGCCTCTGAATTTAAGCCATTTCCTTTTATGTATAATTCCTATCTCTTTAGGAATCTTTTCGAGTTATATTGTTTTTAAGACTATTTTCACACCATTTTTTTAAAATCAGTTTTCTGTTACATTAAGAGATTAGTGTATGCTCTCAAAAAAAAGTAAACCAGAAATGAAAACTTGAAGTTTGCTTCCTATTAATCATGTATAGACTTAAAAATATGATCCAAATCCAAAATTAATTATGAATAACATAAAATAGTTTCCTTCCCCTTTTGTATACCTGTATCTACTAATTATCATCCCCAAATTTCAGAAAATATCACCAATTAAAAGTGCCTAATCTCCTGCCTCTATATATTCCATTTTCTTATTATTACAATCTTTTTTTTTTTTTTTTTCAGTTAGTTTTGGAGACCGACCAGCAGGGATACATAAATTTTTCTGTGTCTTCGACTGAGTTCCTAATTGATATTTCTTCAACTCTTTTCAAAGCAGCTATTTTGGCATCTACAAAAGACTTGGTGTCATCTGAGTCGTAGAAAATATATTTTAATCTTTCACAGCAGTGTTGTTTCTAAGATTTAGCATTTGGGGTAGCAGATGGAGTGGCAAAGAAGTTGCCTATAGGGGCAGCCCACTGCCTCGACTACTCTCCCGCCCTCTGCAGTAACTTATCATTTGAAATAGGAAAGATGCCGTCTTTCGTTGGATGCATCGCTGAGCTGCATGTTGTCAATCGAAGATTCCCCAGATCACTAATACAAGATTGGAATGTTGCAAAGACCTCCCTCCTGCCCTTCTGTGGCCTCTGCCTGCCCTCTAGCTCCTTTCTCCTTTTGCCTTTTTTCTCCAGACAGAGCAATACTCAAAAGATGGCTTGGAGAAGACCCTCAAAGTAAAATCAAATTTATATTTATAACAGTACTAAATTCCCAGCTTCCAAAATACGACTATTCTGATTTATTTCTTGCATCACAGAGGTAGTAATGTGACTCCAGGCTTGACCCACAGGTGACCTTGAGTGGCAAGTCCCTTGCCCTTTCTGAGTCTCTAAGTGCATAATGGAAGCAACAATTTCTATCCCAAATCTGCTCTGAATCAGATATCCCATCCAGGCTCTCTGATAGCAAAGATTTTTTCTGGCCCACCAGTAAGCAAGTAAATAAATAAGAAAGTAAATAATTGTCAAGGGAAAAATAAAATAAAATGCTAAACCAGGGCAGAAGAAACTCCTGTGAATTTATTGACTAATACCTCATTCACAACTTGAAAACTTAGTCATGCTATTCATTCTCTTTGGAAAGTTATGTTATCGGCTTCATTTTTAAAATAAAATTTGTTCCTCCCAGCTGAAAGGATTTATGAAGTGCTAACATGTGTGTAGACCAACCCTGATATTTTTTAATGCATTTGAGAAAAAAAAGAAGACAGAGTAAAACAGAACTGAATTTGAGTGCTGCCTCTTTTGTTATCTTTGTCTCTTAGCAGTTCTCATTTCTATTTCCTCATCTATGAAATGAAGATAAACCCCTGCCCTGTGTACTTCACAAGTTTTTGTTGCATTCACCTGAGTCCTGTGTCAAGTGCAAAGCACTATACCAATGTCAGGCATTAATGTCAGTATTTTCTCTTATCAGTAACTTAGATTTGCCCTGCTCCCACCTCAGTACTCTGACACTCTCTGGATTCATGCTATCTGTTAATTCAGACTCCACCACTAACTGTCTCCGGGGTTCCAGGGAAATTCCATATCTTCCCTGAGCTCAATTTTCCCATCCATCAAATAGGCATAAAAATACCTACCTTTTAGAGCAGTTATGAAGGTGGCTGGCACTTAGCAATCTGTTATTATAGTACTGGCTATTTTTTAATCCCCTTCTCCTATTACCCCAACTCTAGCAGCTGTCTGGAAAACCACCTGTATTTAAAAGAAAGTCTCTCCTTTTTTTCCTCAAACAGGGCTGGTTCAGTCCTGGCCAGGTGTTTGTACTAGATGAATATTGTGCCCGAAATGGAGTTCGAGGGTGTCACCGACATCTCTGCTACCTCAGAGACTTGCTTGAACGGGCAGAAAATGGCGCCATGATTGACCCCACCCTCCTTCACTACAGCTTTGCCTTCTGTGCATCCCATGTTCATGGCAACAGGTAGGCATGTCTGGAGGTGCTACTAAAACATTTTTTGTGAGATGCTGGTAACATTTTATATCTGGTCCTACTTTTAAGATTATCTCTTTCTGACTGTCCCTGTATTTCAGTTCTACACACAGTGACATGCAACCACCAGGACTCCAAAGGTCTTACTCCCTTCTCCTTTCAAAGACTCGAGAGAAATGGCAAATAGGATTTTTAGGGAGGTCTCTGAAGTTAGAACAATATAGGTTCAAATCATGACTCCTCCACTTACTGGCAATGACCCTGGTTGGCTATAAACCCTCTGAGCCACAGTTTTCTCATCTCAGGGGGTTCTTGAGAGGAGGCAAGTAGATATAAAGGGCTCAACATAATGCCTAGAATATGCAAAGGACTTAATGAATATTTCCCTTTGTTACTATTAGTCGTTTCATAAATATTTAATGTTACTTACTGTCAAACATTTAGCGTGCATGGTGAGAAAATTCTAGACCAAAAGGCAAAAATAATCATAACTCCTAGAGTTTAACTATGGAGATGAGAAGAACTGTAGAGATCACATGTAACCAGCCCCTTCATTTTACAGATTTTATAGACAAGAGCAGAACATCAGTTCTTCTGACTCTATACTAAGTACTCTCTCTCTCCTTAGACATTATCCAGCTCGTAGAGGAAAAGATACATGTTCTGAAAAATGCAAAACAGCAAATAATTTAAGAACATTACCATTTGGCTCTGAAGACATGGAATAAATTTCCACACTGCCACAGCCAGTTTGCTATCCCAATGTATGTAGCCTCATACTACTATAAAGACAAGCCTACTTTACCTCCAGAACAGCCCAACCAATTGCAAGGGAAGGCACAGTCCAGGACAAACTAAGTGGTTTCAGAAACCCAGCCTCCAAAGAAAACATTGCTGATCTAGGGTAATTCACATGTTGAAGAATCCATAATTGATGGCATTTTTTTAAAAAATCACAACTGTGTCAGTCTCATCTTTGCAAGCTATACAACTCTGAAATATCTCTGGGATTTGTTCTGTGCTTTTCCTCTCTCTAGTGCTGGTGGATTTTATGAAATAAAATTTCAATACTTAGAGCTAGATAACAATAGCATTGTAGGCTTGAATATTTCACAGGCAGCAAGGTTATCATCACTTCCCATTGTTACAGGTTCGCTAGCCTAGCACATGACCTTTTATTTGCATAAAAGATACTCCTGAAAACTCTGATACCTGGAGACTATCTGCATAATTCTGCTTTTTATAAATATGTACACTTTGATGACTATCTGTTACAGCCTCTTGGACTAAATTCTTTACAGAGAGAGAGAGAAGTTGCATTATATTCTCTGGGTTGTCACACTGTATTCTACATATGTTACTGAATAAGAAAGTGTTATAAAATAATGAAGTGTTTTTGTAAACTCCCTGGTAAACATCATCATGAATTATGATACACATTGTCTGGATTTCATATTGTAAGACTGCCACTTGATTCACAGTTAGGTTTATACATCTTGTCATGGAAACAGTTTTGGATTTCTTATTTTCTTTTCAGTTCTGATTTTCCTTATGCAAGTTTGCATCTTTTTTTTTTTGCTTATTATTTTAGTTTGAATGCATTTGCTCTTGCTGTTTGATGCATCCTTCTTTTTTTTCTTTTGTTTTGTGTGCTCTTGATTCTCCTGTGGCTGACCATACTCTGTGCATGCCCCATATGACCACCCCCTCTCCAAGTCAACAAATGCATGTGTACCGTAATGGGCTGCTACCACATGCAGACCCAGAAGGGAGCAAAACTCCCTCCCCATCTGAATCAGAGGCTAAAAAAAATATCAAAAAGGAATCCAAAAAGAGAAAAGATCCCAAAACCCAGACAAATCCAGAGCCCAAAAGGTAAGAAGTTACATGTGGATTGACTTCAGTTTTGCAATGTCTGTGATCCTTTCCTGTCCCTCCATCACTTCCACCTTAGCAAATAGCAAATTTTGTATATTCCTGGAACCTCTGTTCCTTTAAGGTTTTTTTTTAAACATAGGCTTTTCAAAACATTCTTGTCAATGGGCAAAAATACCATGGATTGGAACTGAATTTGAATCAGATAGTTAGTGACTCTTAAAACATATTAACATGAACTCTTGTCATTTGCCACAACATGGGTGGAACTGGAGGCGATCATACTAAACGAAACAGGTCAGAAGGAAATAGACAAATACTGGATGGTTTCATTTATGTGTGAAATGTAGAGAAACAAAACAAAGAGTCAGATAAAACCAATCTAATAACAAATCCTAAAAGTCTGACTATATAATTGAGGCTACTGGAGTAGGACTGGGGTCATGGAGAGCAAAGTGTGGAGGGGGCCCAGTGTAGTCTGGTGGAGGATGCTGGGCACCTTGGTAGTGGACATGGGTGGTAACATGCATCTCATACGTCTGGAGGAGTAGAATCCTATACATCTGGATCAGATACAGTATAATAAACCAATGTTACCTCAATTTAAAAAAAGAGCAATATGTAAACAGGATCATGAGTCAGATTGCTTTTTTAGTGGTATCTAGTTAGGGGACTGGTACCTTACCAAGTCATTCATATTAAACAACCCATACTTTATGATTTTGAAATTATGTTTAAGGAGCAAATAAAATAGGTTGGCATGAGATGGGTCTATACATTTATAGCAGCTCCCTCATTTTTCAGCCAACTCCTCTCAATTCCACATTTATCTCACGAAAGAAATCTGTCTTCAAATTATTATTTATAATAAGGACATAATTCCCATCACTACATCAGTGACTTAGTAGAATCACTTGAATAATGAGGTCACCTTGAAGGCACTTTTATGTTCTAAAAATATATTTAGCCTCTCCTGTTTCTATATCCTTTAGGGATTCTCTTTGTAAATTGATAAATTGGTGAATTGGTGGCTTTTTCTCTTTTTAAACTACATTTACTAATTATCTCCAAAGTTACCCTTGTGTCCTTCACCTTCCCTACTCTTGCCCCAAATTAACATTAACAGTTTATAATTTTGTTTGTGTTTTTGAAACCAACATTCTTGGCGTTGCTAAACTATATAAACTGACCTTGGTATTGCCAGCTACACACATTTCACAAGTAAGCATGCTTTATGCTTGGTAAGCGTTTATTCAACAGAGTATTTCTAAGTCCTGAAGTATATACAGTTGATCTATAGGCACATTGAATGAAAGTTTAGAGAAGGTGCTAGGTTGTCCATCCATGTATGCAGGTGAAGTTCAATGAAAGCCCTGATCCCATGTGGACAGCCCCCTTCTGAACTTGTAGAGTGTAAGGAGGGAGGCAAAATGGGTTTCTGTTTGTGCTTCCCCATGAAGAACACATTGCAAGGCAATAGAAGCTTCAGCAAGTAAGCAAGTGACAGAGAATGTTGTAGGTGCCTGAAATTCTGGCAGAATGATAGGTTTCAGACGGGCTGCCTCTCTAACTGCTGTCCAAGGTGCTGCTTCTGATAAATCAGCATAGAAGCAGAGCAGAGTAAATGGCCGCTCTCACCGGAGCCTGACCTATTCCCTGTGCCTAGAAAAGCTATTCAAAGGGATATTGAACGGTGCTTTCAGAATTTTCTCTGTGTCCCAGTATCTATTTTTACATTGTACTTCTTTTAATGAAAAAGAATCATAATAAATATCAGTTGTGTGGCATTCTGCAATTCACAACCTGCTTTCATGCTTACCGTCTCATTTGCTGTAATACTTCAGATTAGCTATGTTTATATCCATTTTGCTGATGATAATACTGAATGTCTGTAAATTTAAGTGGCAAGCCCAGATATTCTGAGACCAAAGTTCTTCCTCTTTGTACTACAACAGCACTGTAATTATATTCTGAAAATCTGAGTGTGAGAGCCTGTTGTGCATAAATCTAGGATAATCATATCTCATTCCTATTGTCTTATAGGCAAAGTGAACAGATAGACTCATAGCATTTATAATATCCTGTCAACCACTAGGTTACAAATTAAATGACCCATTGTCAGGTTTCAGAATAAGGTTTAATTACAATAACTATAATTGTGGCCATTTAATAAGTGCTTGCTATGTGCCAGGCACTGTATGAAGTGCTGTTTATATATATTATCTCATTTTATACTAATTTTATCCCTCTGAGATATGTATTGCTATTATTACCCTCATCTAACAGTTATGATGCTTGAGGCTTATATAGGTTCAATCTCTTGTTCCTCAACAAATAAGTTTCTGAGCCTTATAGAAACATGGTTATTTTGACATTGGAGCTTACATTTATAACCTCTCTACCTTACTGCCTGCCCAGTATTCACACTTGTATAGGTGTGGGATGCCAAATTCAGCTGTTTGATATGAGTGTCAGAGGAGGCTACAGCAGTCTCTTGAATTAATTAATGAGGTATCCATTTTTGTCCCGAAAAATGTCCAAAATCAGTTTGGCCCACCTGGTCATTGTGGCTTTATGGAGAAAGCCAGCGTGTATCGGAGTTTTAGGGTGCCTTAGGGAAGATTCTTCTTTGAATATTAATTAACAGCCATTTTGGATTGGGAAAACTTTTTTTCTAACCTCATTCACCAGTATGAACACTATGTATACCTGAAGGTGTTATCTCTTCTTTGACCAGGTTTAAGAAGCATTTAAGATTCATATTGCAATTTGCAATTTAGCAGAGATTGCAATTTAACAGAACTACAGAGCCCCTACTGTCATATCACAACCAGCTTTAGAGCAGGTGCAGTGCCACTTTGTACCTATTTTTTTTTAACTTTTTACATATTATTATCTCAACAACCCCAAGAGTGGAGGCAGAGCCCTGCCCTACTGAGGCTGGAAATCATTAGTGAGGGCTCAGGTGCAGAGCGGGAGCGTCTCCCTCCTGCTCTGAAAGCCGGTGCCACCTCTCTATGAGAAACTGTGCCAATTGAAACCCAAACATTAATAAGAAGTGGACACATCTGGTCCGTCAAGAGGATGTTTGCTAAGCACTGGAAAATATGCAACCA